TACTAAAGTACATTCCACTACCTACCCTAATTCCCCACCCATAAAACCCCTATAACCACCGTTTCCGTAGGGAGTAATTAGGTGCACTGCATAAACAACGGTCACATCCACTCATGCTACTCAACTGAATATGCTGCCCCGCTGCTATCACGTCCTGTATTCTACGTTCTTTGAACCTGCTCTCATAGAGCCATGAAAGAAGTTCCCTTTTTTTCCTTTCTATCAATTCTGACCTCACCATCGGCTGCTGTCTCCCGGAACAACAGTTTGGGTTCTGGACTTCAAGCTAGAGCCCTTAATGCTGGCGTGGTGTTCTCGTTTTGCTGAAAAATATACCAATGGAGTTAAGGTAACAGTTTTTATATATCAACAAACACATTGATATACCTCCCTGCTATCACGACCTTTGTTCGCATGGCCAAGAAGCGCGTGTACTCAATCTATCGCCAATGCTATCCTCTAAGCTCAACCCCATTTTTCTTGTAGCTGGAATACAAGGAAGGCCAGTTCTCTCTACAATTTATTTGTTCCAGGAGATGGACCTTTGTACGACCCCGAAGGCTCAGGTAAATAGGCGTGCTGTATTTTTTTGAAAAGGTACCTTCGTTTCCATTCATGAGTTTACGATGTGTTACGGCGTTATCCCGCTGTGGTTGACAGACACTAGCCCAAATATTCAAATTAAACTTCGATTTGCGCCCATAAAACTTGGTTCAGACTTATTTACCCCTATTAAACGATGAATCTATGAGGAAATTGTAGAGATGCAATTTCAAAAGTGGAATGTCTGCAAAGAAGATGAATGCGCAATCACTGAGACAGCATTTGTATTATTCCGAGGTTTTGGATTCGTACGGTAAACCATCAGCAAACAAAATGAGAGTACAGTAAGAATTGATAAGTTTTTAGTCCAACTACGAGCAAACGGGGTGTGTAGGAGGGAGTATCATTCGTGAGCTCGTCGCCACCGAGGTGAGTCCCTACTTTTCGATTTGGCGGGGCCCTTGGTTTCCCGCACGAAATGCCTGCGTGCAGATGGTAGTTGCACAAAGGCAGATTTGAAAGCCGTATTTTCAAGGTAGCTAAAAACAAACGTTCTCCGATTATCTCGGCGGCACTGCGGCCTGCATGCAGCGACGTCGGAGACAGCAATGTCTCCGACTAGCAAGAGTCCACGCAGCAGAGAACCACTGAGCGGGATGGAACCGAAGGAGGGGGAGGATTATATACCTGCCGAGTACTGTTTTCCAATTCCGCCGCATGTGTTTGAGCTTCCAAGAGCGGTAATTGCCACGACTGATAACTCAGGGCGGCATGGGAATCCGTTTTCCTGGTGTCAGGTAGGTCATATTCCCACTTTCTGTAAAGGTGTTAAACTGAGTTTAACCAGCGGATCTGGTGGGTTCCCCTACCTTGGAAGACCCGAAGATTCCGGCCTCCACGAGTTCACGTATGCGAATTTAAACGCTCTTATGTGGGGCCGTTCTGTGGAAACAGAACAGAACCCATTGAAGATTAGACCTTCTAACTTTTTTCCCTCACTTTTCGTGAAGTTATTACGTTGAATTTTTGACATATTCGTGATTTCATATTTGCCGCTCTCTGTCTTCCCTTTCGTGGTGGTCTCATAAATTTGCAGGGCACCCAGGTTTTGCGATTTGACACTCACCCCTGTGCGATAAGCTGCACACGTGAATACTGCCATTCGCCCAGCATATTGATGAGAAAGTCCCTTGCACACCTCCTTGCTGATGCTGTTATTGGTCCCATTATACCGAAGTTTAGTCGATGGGGCTTCTTCATATTGGGCCTTATTCTCAACGTAAGGCCTTCTTGCTTTCCGTCTGCCTTTGAAACTTGTCTGCTCCGCAAGCGGAAGAAAAAAATTTTAAAATATGAGCAGATACAGCAGAAGCAGTAGGTGTTTCGGTGAAAACCAAAGACGTGTGGTTAAATCCCGCTAAATTGAAGATTTATGCAGCCTGACAGTCCAACACGTGCTCTTTGAACGGCGTGTGGCGTTATCGATCGGTCGCATCATGCTGCTTAATTGATTCGCTCTCCCTCGAATTTGAAGAACAGGACTGACTGGCAAAAGCTCGAGATGCGATCTACAGAACGAATGTCAATTAATTTATCCCCAACCAAATTGGATCCCTACCTGTGGATCTTTCGGGGACTCTTGCTGTCCCGCACGAAATGCCTGCGTGCGAATGGTAACTGCACAAAGGCAGATTTGAAGGCCGAATTGTCAAGGTGGTTGAAGGTGAATATTCGCAGATTATCTCGGCGGCACTGCCGCCTACATACAGCGACGGTTCAGAAAGCAATGTCCTCGTATAAAAAGATTCCACACAGCAGTCCAGAACCGCCGAACTTTATGGAACAGTCAGAGGTGAAGGAGGAGGGCATGCCAACTGAATACTGCTTTCCGATTCCACCCCGCGAGTTGGAGATTCCCAGGGTGGTAGTCACCACACCTGATAGCCTTCATGTTACGGATCGCTCAGGTGACACGGGGCAGCAGGAGAACCCCTTTTCATGGTGTCAGGTAGGTCAAATTTCCACGTTCTCTAAAGG